TTCTGAGAACATCAGAATTTATTGTTGCCGTAACGTAAAATTCTTCGTAACATTTACAATTGGTGTCAGGATGTGTGTAGAATGTGTTTTCTTTTTACGAACATCGATATAGTATCGATAAATAACCGATTACGAGCGTCTTTTACGAGCAAATCGACTATCTCGAGCACATTGCTATCCCATATTTTATAGCTGTTTACAATTAAGGCGACAAATTTGGTTCGTGTCGTGTGCTCGTGTCGCAGATTTATATTCAGCTAATTCTGTCTAGCGCAGCGCGTCCCGGCCCTGAGTAATGGAAATCGGCTATTGGATGCGGGAATAATTAAATGTCACCTTACAAAAATGTCAGTGTTGCAGGGGACCGATCTCAAAATAAGTTTGTGTAATGTAGCTATATACACACCTAGTAGCTTTTTTTTTTTTAGGGGGGGAAAATCATCGAATGACTGCTCCCGCCTGGGTGAGGCGGGAGGGAGTGTCAGACTCTTACTGACTAAAAACCACCCCGTTCCTTCTCCTGCACGTCGAGCCGGAGCCCCGGTTACCCGTTAGGTTGTAGCTTACTATGCAAACGGTGGCATTAAAAAGTTCAAACGAGACCATAGAAAAGCAGCTGCTGATAACCATACCCGATAGTTCACACCATTAGCGTTGAAGCCATCTATGAAATTACCTCTGTTACAACCTGCACCACCTAAAACGTTTTTAATTTTACGTCCACTATCTATTCTTAGCACATTACTGTTTTACGGCGTCTATTATCACACGTCGTTATGGGATGTGGTAATGTAGTAAAATGTTAAACAGTTATTTATTTAGCGGTTTTCCGGCCGCTTGTATGTACCCTCTGTCGTACAAAATGTACTTCATAATGCAAATGTGTGGGAGAAATAATAAACGACGACATTTTTCCCCGTCTATGAAACATACCCCTCGCCTCCACTAACTGAAGTGCATTTTATAAACGCGTAACTTAATAGTGATGTGCTGTCCTAAAAATATCGACAAATTAATCATAGTTAGGGATTACAGTGATGATTTACTAATAAATTATGTGTAAGTATTTAAATTAGTAAATGTTGAACGAAACTAGTTTTGGTGATTTATAGTTTACGATTCTTTTAGAAAGGTTCTTGCTATCTAATTTTATTAACGCCATTTTCTTAATTGAAGATTATTAGCTTTTCGATTTTATGTTAAGTACTAAATTGTAGAGATAATGATCTGCAGTCGTTGCATCCAATAAAAATTTGTATTTATCTACATTTTGCAATTAAACCCACATTTGCACGTCCCTATTCTCACCTTTATATTTCCATCGACACCTTTGCACTTTGTTTTATTTTCTTGCACGCCTCGTCCGCATAATTCCACAATAAAGCTTCTGTTGTGCCCTAAAATCTTTACATCCATTCCTCGAAGGGGAACTTTCTATACGAAATATCAGCGCGGCCATTGTGCGTCTTTCTATTTTATTCTTCACAAATGGGTTTTTGTACGACTGTAATGAAGGCTTTATTCGAAGGTGCGAACTGCGAGTGTAGAATGCGTCAATAGTGAGGAGCACGCGATACGCGAGCCATTTTGTTGGTATTCAACTTATTTTTTCTTATTAAAATTTCGGTGCCTCGGCTAGGAATGTAGGAATCCGCAAGAGACTAAAAAGCGCCGTTATCGTGTTGGGAATTAGTTTGAATAAGCAGAAAAAAGCGGGCGCCAGTAGAGACGGGTGCCGGTTATCTGCAGTTATTTATCGTATCAAGTAGTTCTTTCCTTCGCCGCCGCTTCAAAGACACCGCACACGGTAGCTCTCGCTGCTTATTACCTATGTGGGAATGTAACAGAACAGCTTTATGTCATAAGTATTTATTTTTTACAACTTTTCGTTCAAGTTTGAGATAATTTTGGTCTGTCGTACTCCGTAGCAGCATACCAGCACTAACTACGATTTCGTGGAAACAATCTATTAAAGTTAAAATCTTAGCTCAAGTATGGACTTAACTTTGTGTGATATCTCGTCTAGATAAGTAAGAAACACCGGTTGTTGAATTTGTTAAAATAAATTAGATGTTCCTGTTTTATTGGAAAGTTCTTCAACCTTTTTATTGTAACACGAAACGATTCGATTTTATAATAATCGTGTTAATGTTTAAATAATTTATCACCGTATAAATATTATGCATTATTAATGTGGCACCATAGCTGTATTATTAAGTTCGTTTCGATCATCCGTATAATATTTGGAATATTTATGAATTTGAAATGTCAGAGATGTTTTATTTACATAAAACGTTGTCGCAACGTTTTGATCTTTATCGTTTTATTTTTATCTTTTATATCGTCGCAGTATCCAGTCTAACTTGTTAATTCTTTAAATCAATAAATAACGTCACAGATTCAAGCATCCAATTAAATAAAAAAGTGTTGCATTATAAGGTGTCTGTATGTAATGTCGTAAACAAGAGTGCGATAAAACTCCAGCGTCTGCGCATGTCGCAGCGATTTGTCGCGGTGAGTCGTCGCACGCAGTGTGTATGCAAATTATATCGTTCTTTATTGTCACTCGTTAGCAGTTAATCGTTTTTATCGCTGCACGAATAAACAAATACCCATTAAAAGCGTTAAAATTATTAATTTAATCTCTTATAGGCTTGTTTTGGAAACTCATTTACATGTGTAGTACGTTTACCTGTGTACTGTACTCTGTGTTTAGATAGGACGTTATTATTTTATGATAATAGTGTTAATAACTTGCCCGTTACAACCGTGGTAAGGACCCCGGTACTATGATTACGGAACCGGTCACAATATTTAAACTTGTTTACGATTATGACACTTCCAACAAATGGAAATGACCGAGGTGTCTCGCTTTTTATTTTCCTTACTTAAGATTTTAATCAAGTATTCATAGTTTTATTAATAGACATGAAGCGAAGTAATTTAATTAGGTAGGTTAGGTACATAACATAATATCAAAAATAAGAGTATTCAGTTTCGTCTCATTTGCTTGAAATGGCTGTAGGTGTTAGGCGTTGTGTGGTAATGTCTTATTTTGGCAGCGTCGTTCGTTAACTTGGCTCGTTCCAATTATAAATTCAATTATCTTTCTGTGTCTTCACACCCAAAAACGACATTCTCAAGGATATTAACGGCTATATTGACAAAAAGTTTTAAAGTAACTTGATACATGAAAAAATGTATATAAAAATCATAAAGTTAATGGGTTTTGGAACATGATATGATCCTTAACGAGGCACGTAAAGTAACTGCACGGGTTCTGAGAAGTGGGCTTGTCGCAGGAAGCCCATATGAGCTGCTGGTTATCTCCAGAAAAAGAATGACAGACATTATTCATTTGATACACAGAAGCTTGTCAGAACTGAAATATGATTAAGTAATTCTAACTTCTATTTTAATGGGGATCTTAAATTCTTTGTTTTCTTATTCTTTCTTTTTAAATATGGAATATACGAACAAGCTCTGTCTATGTTTTACGGCTATAGATGTAGAAATCACTGAGCGCCATCCACTGTAGTCGTCGCCTAATGTATAATATTTTCTACTTCCTCCAATTCGCAATTGAGCTATCCCACGTCCATTCAGGAGCATGGATTCAGTCTTGAGAGTTTTTGATTCTGTAGCCAAAAGTTCTCATACACCTTTTTCATAAAAAATAAATATAATTGACCCATCGTACATCGCATGCGTTGTTTGCACAGACTTGTAAATTTTAATAACTCGAAGCAAATTCATTACTTGAAATTATTCGCCTCATGCGAGTCTTGTAAGGTTTAAAATAAAATGAAGACCTGTCTCTGGTAAGATGGGTTAACAATATCAATCAGTGAATTTATTATACAATTAAATATATACAATACAAGATAATAATTAATATATACAACTTAAAATATATATAAAAACAAATTTAAAACTAAAATATTTACACCTTAATAAAATAATACTAATAAAAATAAATCATAAGGCATCAAAGAAAACATTTTCCTCATCGCTACCGTGAGGTAGGGTGCCCAAAAGACTGGCAGCATTGCCACGTTGAATGGCAATGCTTAACCTTTGCCCAAGGTAGTAGCCAGCCAAGTTAACAATATTACAATCAAGAAAGCCCACTTGTTATTATGTATAAGTGCTTTCAAGAGTTTCCAATTTGGCTTGTGTGCACTTAAAACTGCACTGCGCTCGCTCCACGAACCAGATAGCGAAACGATGACGATACCAAAGTGTTTTTTGACTTTTTATGCGCAAGAAATAAAAATTTGTTCTAATATCTTACTGGTATTGCTCCAAGTTTATTTATATCTGAACTTTTCAGTCACAAATCTTGTAAGTTTTATCTCAACAGAAGATAGGAGCGAGTTCCCAAACTTTCTTGAACTTCCCCAAATAAAATTTCGCGAACAAAAAACCTCTCAGTAGTCAGCTTTTGGCCATGAACTTTTTTTTTATCCTAAACCAGGTTCTCTGGGTTCTCATGATTTGTGGACAGGTGGCGCGGGCGTCGTTCGCGGCATCTTTGTGGTAGCTCTTTGATCTCGCCGCCGCATTGTACGCTCGCGTACAAAACTTTTTGCCTCAAATCGTTCGATATTGACGCGTACTGATTTGTTGTGAAATCTCAATAGTTTCGGTAGTGCTTAGAAAACCTTTGAAAGTAGGCAGACATATCGGCGTCATATTTCTCGTATTGTGCAATAGGAGCCTTCAACGTCAGTATCATACAATGGTTCATTACATCCTGATAAGTTTGGTTATAGTATGAATGGAGAATTTGAGTAGGGAGGTACTTGATAAAGCGCCACACCACTTCCTAGTAATTTAATCCGCATACTTCAATCAATCAATAATTATGCGAACTACCATGTTATACAACATGCCTATAGCACCTGTTTTGATATCGACGACTTTCTATTCTCTACTCCACAACCATACACACATATTCAAAATTTCACATAAATAACCTTCTACTTCTTTGTCTCCAGGTTTGACTGCTGAGCTGTTCTACGTCCGAGATGGCCAGATCAACGAGTATGCACTTAACTTCGTGGTGCCTGTTCCTGCTACCATCACGGACTTGCATTTCACCTGGCAAAGCCTTACTAGGAAACCGGTAAGGATCTATGATAATGCTGCCTGTATTAAATTTTTGATTAGGAATTAATAGGAAAATGGGTTTTTAGGAGTTGTCTCGACAATGATATTGTAGAATTCGGTTGGCACTGCAATATACTAAGATATGGTTGAATAAGTCAACATGGTTGAATACACGAGTTAGCGAAAAAATTTGGTCGTTATCAATGTCGGTACTACCTACCGGTTCTGAATGTACTAATTATGGGAGTATCGTTATTCATAAGCAATTCAATTTATTATTATGAAGATTTGGTAACGTGTATAGAAATCATCATCATCAACCCCTATCCACTACTGAGGGCCTAGTAGAAATTTGTTTTAAGTTAATTGTAATCGAAAGGAGTACGCGTTCGGCGTTGTGATTGGCCGGTTCTAATGAACCAACCAATTAGAGCGGCGAACGCAGTCTTGTTTCTATTACTTTAAACGTAAAACAAATTCATACTAATTCCTCTGGATCGACTCTCAAATTGTAAATTAGGAAGAATGGTAATCATGACATAAACTAATGCAATAACATATCTAAGGTATCGACCTTAGTCACATTTATCGCATTGTGGATATGTTTCGGAAATGCGATGTTTTGTACAGCAGCAAATACCATAGTGAGTGTGTATATCTTAGATGAATTTAATTTGTTAAGTGGAACTCTTACGAGACATGAATTCTTTGAATTTAAGATTTGTGGTGGATATAAAGACCAACCCTTCTTCATACAACAACTTATTGTCTACTTTCGACTGAAGACCATCTATAAGTAGAAAACTACAGGAATTCCTAATCTAATCACAATTTGGCGCTATTATGAAATCAAATAATAATTATTATCTTTATACGCTTACTAAGTTCCATCGGTATTAAAACAATTACGTTGGAATTTAAATAACAGTATAAAAAATGCGTAGGTAAAAGCTATCCAGTTTTAAACCAGTCGATAGAAATAGAACTGTGTTGGTTTAGCGAACAATTGATTTGATGAAACAATCACACTATTATGGTAATGCCGCACTCGGAACGAATGCTAAATTGTCCACGATCATCGGCTATCGCACGTTCCAAGCCAACAACTTTATTCACACAATTAGCAATTTGTTCATCGGATTTTTTTACTTTATTGTAGAAACATCTTCAACTTTAGTCAAGTAATTAACTTTGAGAAGAAAGTTGGTCTTTGAGTTGCCGGACAGAGGGTCCCATGTTTACTCACCGCAGCCCCGCAAACAAGCCATTCTTATGGTAATTGAGCAGCCCCTACCCGAATTTAGATAACTTTCTTTTAGTTTTTATAAAATCATTAAACAACATCTGTTCAAAGTTTAGATTGATTATTCTGTTATATTCTTTACATTTTCCCCTTTAGTTCTAATTCAAATTACATCGCTTTTCATGCTAATAGCGCCGCTAGCTGATCACGACGCAGCACCACATTATGCACCACGTACGGGAGCTCTGCATCTCTAACCAAATATTATGTGCATTTATTTATTTTATCCGTAGCCGTCAGCACACACGGCGACGCAGACTAAAAGAAATCAGTTGAGCGGCATTGCATTTTGATCGGGAGCGACGCGACGTCCACTTTACATATTCAATAGTCAGCCAACAAAAGTAGCAACCCAAGTACCCGCAAACAAGTTCACTGAACTTGTCAATAAGACATCTGCTTGTTTAGGATGTGATTTGCAAGTCATACGAACGCTCGCCAGATTACGGGATGCTTCATCAATTTGAATGTATTCATGGCGCCGTCTGAAGGATTTCATGGCGTAAGCTATATTAACTCTGAGTACACCGCTTTAATATAATGAACGTCCAAATATTGCTGCTTAATATCTAAGATACCGCCTTGGAATTTCAATGTATGAATAACACACTACCAAGTCCAAGTACCAACCAAATAGTCGCGGTCTTCTTTGCAGCATTTGAAAAATAAACAAAGTGTTGAGTATGGTTCGGTTGCGATCCTGCGGCCGAGCCCTTCGCTCCTTATCATCATCTCGGCGAGCTTTGTGCGCCACTATCAGATCCGCGATTCCCCCTCATTTCACCGCGCTACTCCCTTATTTATACAGCGGCGCCTTTGACTAGGCAGAGCAAATATTTGGAAACCGGTTACCTAGCGCCGATGAACGCTCTGCCGCCATTGTCTGTGGGCACCGACTGCCGACTGATAATATTTAATTAGCGGCCGCGGTGTCGCACCTTCACAGCTCCGCGGTTCGCCACTTACGAGCCGCGTTCACTGCCTCCGTGATGCATGTCTGATGAGCTAGCTAAAGTGCCCACGGCAAAGCTGTTTGTTTAACAATTCATGTTACGCCGCCTGATGATTAGTCAGATAATGAGCGGGCGCTGATCATAATATTTAATAACGGACTTCAAAACAAACTACGCAACGAGAGCTACGCTACGTACAACATCTGTGCACCACGCCTCCCCGCAGCGTGTCACAATAAGTTCTCGTCATCCACATAAGGGAAACATAAACCACAACGAACGACCCGACATCTACATATGCAAATATAGTCGATGGCCAACGGTAACAAAGTATGTCGTTTATTTATCCGATAAAGGAGCGATGTTCGTGCTCTCACGATGGGTTACACCCGACATTTGATCCCTTCTGACATGGCTTTGGATGCACAGATGGACCGTTTAGGGTCATCTTGCCACGGCACGCAAGATGTCCGTCAATTGGGCGTTCTGCTACAGTTACATTGTGATGTTATTTACCGTTAGGAATGTCTCATACGGATATTTAAGAAAAGATTTGTTGACCTGGAGTCACGAATAACATATTCTGTTTTGTTGCAGTTACCATACACACTACACGTCGACGTAACGGATCAACAGAATGCTATGCACCCGCCTACCGTCAATATATCAAACGAGGGCTTCGTGCCGACAGAGCCACAAACATGGCGAGTGGACTTGCCTTGTACGCACACTGTCGCCGCTGAAGTAGACATCATTATATTTTTGAACGTATCGACGGGTTCTTCTTCATCTGCATTGCGATTTAGAAGAAAGAAAATATGTCTAAAGGAGGCACCGAGACCGGCTGTGAGAGTGGATAGTGTCCCGCATGCGCCTACGTCAGCTGACATATTTTACGCGGGAGCTGGTTGTGCTGGCGGAGCACTGCTAATAGCTGCAGTTGCTGCAGCTGCTTGTCGAGCACGAGCGCGAAAGTTACGACGCGCAAGAAGCGATGAACAAGACGCTCACGCATTCTTACCAGACTCGTCCTGTAAGTCTGCTGCCAGTTATACCAGCTACCGACGTCCTACCTCACTGCCTGCTGCGGCAGCTGAAGAAAAAGCTAGAGACCTACAGCAAAGAATAGCGGAACTGACGATACAACGGTGCAGAGTGAGATTGCGTTCTGTGGCCATGGAAGGAACTTTTGGACGCGTATATAGAGGAACCTATGCTGATGAAGACGCAAGGGAACAAGAAGTGCTTGTGAAGACTGTCGCTGAACACGCTTCTCAAGTGCAGGTAATTATTTTCTCACAATATGCATAGGTATATTGCATAATAATTATAGCTTTTAAGAATTTCTCTTTTTGAATTATTTGATTTTTCGCATCAGATCTACCCTGTACGGAATCTAACGATAGTACTGTTTTAGGTGTCACTGCTACTTCAGGAGGGCTGCATGTTATATGGACTTCATCATGAACGGGTATTGTCGGTCTTGGGTGTCAGTATCGAAGACCAAACAGCTCCATTCTTGTTATACCCCTGGAACTCAACATGGAGGAACTTGAAGCAGTTCCTTTTGGCCTGTCGTGGTGTGACTGTGGGAGGTGCAGCGGGCGGGGCTCCACCACCGCCGCCTCTGACGACGCAACATGTTGTCAGAATGGCTCTCCATGCATTGGATGGACTACTCTACCTTCACTCTCAGCATGTCTTGCATAAAGACATCGCTGCTAGGAATTGCATGTAAGTTATAATTTTTTAACAGGTTTTTTACTATGTATCTTTTTTGTTAAACAAATAAAATGTTCACTCAATTTCTTTCCAAAAATACCTTTTCTAACTAATCTTTTCTCAAACAGAGTTGACGAAAATCTCCGAGTGATGATTGCGGACAACGCTTTGTCAAGAGATTTGTTCCCTGCTGACTACCACTGTCTCGGCGACAATGAGAACAGGCCAATCAAATGGTTGGCACTAGAAGCTCTGACGAAGAGACAGTTCAGCCCAGCCGCTGATGTCTGGGCGCTAGGAGTTTTATTATGGGAGCTGACGACGTTAGCGCATCAGCCTTATGCTGAGGTAGATCCCTTCGAAGTAGCTGCCTATCTAAGGGACGGCTACCGGTTACAGCAGCCAGCCAATTGCCCAGATGAATTGTAAGTAACACTCCACCTTATACTATTTTCGTATGCACGTAAATTCTCTTCTGGGCCATAGCCAATTGGAACAGTTTTTCCGTAGTTGAGTGGTGTTTATGTTTGCTTATGTGAAGTGCATTCTCCTCCACGATTGTAGTACGTGCCAAAAGTTATTGTAATTCAACCTATTTACGTTGTTATTTGTTTGTTTAGGTTCGCGGTGATGGCGTACTGTTGGGCGATGTCGCCGGACGACCGGCCGACGTTGCCGCAGCTTCAGATCTTCCTGCGGGACTTCCACACACAACTCACGAGATTCGTGTAAACCATTCCTTAGAAACTTTTAAAGACATCCCAAAGACGACAATAAAGTGTTAAGTACTTCAAGTTGAAATGTTGGACACGAGGCCTTACAGTGAAGTGCGAGTGACAGTGTTCGTGTACAGTGACAAAGTTAAAGAGACTGATTTTTATACGTTTATTGAGTTGTAAATTATTTAATTCACATAGTTATCACATATTTAGTTTTTATCTTCATGTGCTGTATTTTACTAAGGATTTACTGTTTTGACCGTGATTTTGAAAAATGATAGTAATCTCCAGAACGCTGTTTTAGCGAAAATAATGCCAATAAAATACTTGATAAAGATTGATCAATTTAGGTCGTACTGACATAAAAGTCGTAAAGAAATAACAGTATGCCATATTTGATAGTGAACACCAAATGTAGCAATTATTCTATTTAGAACGATCTCATTTAGTAGTGTTATTTGTAACAAATTACCAACAACATATGGCAAACGAATGCAGTGTAGCGAATGAAGTAAGCTTGCTCAGCTGAGCATGATGTCTCAGGAATTATTGAACAAAATATAGCCAAAACAGTATTTCCTTTAAGTTCCTTCAAAACCGAGATAAATTCATAATTGTTTTGTTTTCCTACGATAAAACCATTTCTTTGATTCGATTAAATAGTTATTAACGTTTCAATAGTATTTATTACACATTGTCGAATTAAAGAAGTCAGGTCGTTCAAGAACTTACAACCGTACTTTTTATTTGAACCGAAAAATATCCTTTCGCCGATTTTTCGGGTTAAATCAAAAGTCGTACTGGCTATCATAATTACCAAGGACATTGAAAAAAATGCGGACACAGTCTCTTGAAAAACGACTGTGGCACCTGGTTACTATAAATTCACACGCAAAATACACACACATTGACACGAAGGACATCTGTGACATGGCCCGCCATTACACTTCTTTATGTCGCGGAGAACCTAACGGGTAACCGGGGCTCCAGCTCGAAGTGAGAAGGATCGGGGTGGTTTTTAGTCAGTAAGAGTCTGACACTCCCTCCCGCCTCACCTAGGCGGGAGCAGTTATTCGATGATTTTCCCCCCTTAAAAAAAATACTTCTTTATACATTATGGTGTTGCAAGTAGATACACGCACAGATAAATACACCATTCAAGTGACAAGCAGAGGTATCGTCTTTTTTTCAACGTCCTTAATATTAACTATTATCGCAGAATCATACACATACCCTATATTAATTATCCTTAATTCATACAGTTTCTAAAGATCTGTGTCTATATTTAATATAAAAAATAGGGTGGGTATAGTTACTCTGTGGTTCCACGAACGAAACAAAACCCAAATATGTGATAATTATCGATACCAGTTGTCAGTTCCCTAATTTAATTAAACATTAAAAGAAACATTGTTTCAAGAAATTAGAAAATTGACATTATAATATTATTTTGAACCTCGATACTGCCATATTAGAATTAATATTTGTAAATATATATAGGTGATAGCGACTGTATTGTATAATACGTAATATTGAATGTGCCTCAGAGTTTATCACGACGTTTATAAGTGTTTAGAGTATTATATGATTATATCTATTGATTAAGACTGGACTAGAACAATTTTACTCATACATACACAATTTAATTACATTTATACTCTGCCTTACAATACTTTCTCTATTCTTAATTCAAAATAGTACATTTGATAACGACCTTTTTACTAAAATTTTCTATGGCGTATTTATTATCTGTGCTAGACCTTTAAATTAAAAAAAATACTATAGATAACTTTCGTAATGCTAAAATAGAACGCTATTGTGTTTCTAGATTTTCTATCTCAAATTATGTATTAGAAAGTTGATTAAAAGTTATTGATTAAATCATATAATAGAGAAAGCACTGAATAAATTAAAACAGTAAGGATTTGAAATTATGCCTACCTGTTAATTAATATTGTTATTAAATATGAGACTTAACAATCAATTTACTAATTATGTTAGTTATTCAGAAACCTATCAATGCAATGTAATCGAAAATAAAATTTGTAGTATCAATATTAGATCAATAAATAATAAATTCTAGTTCTAGAGAAGTATTCTTGTCAATAATTTTGTTATTTCCAAATAGATTGATACAGATAATATATTGTATACTTTGTCTGTTATTGGGGCAGCGATACATTTTGTACATGTGTAAATATTGTAATACTACACAAATGTGAATATATGAGTGATTAATATTCAATATGTCTGTTTTTCTTCCTCCTTTTTCATATACCTAATCATCATCATAACATCACGCCTTTTACCCCCGAAGGTGCAGAGGTGCACCATTACGGCACTTAATATCACTGTACAATGTAACAGCCTAGTAATTTTTTTTTTTTTTTCTTTATTTATTTAGAGGCTTTTCCCTTACAAAGGTATGTCAGCCTCATCATACCCTAATCTAACTTAACTAACTACATTTAATTATAATTATACACTTATTTACAGCCTAGTAATACTTTGCCCGACTCGGGAATCGAACCAGAGACCACTCGGCCAACGAGGCAGTCCTTTTTATATAACTAACCGAGACCTATCGTCAGTTCCCAGTCCACTTTTACAAAAAGTCTAGAAATCTAAAAATAACATTCAAAAGAATAAACAAATACCAACTTCAATACTTTCAGTAAGAAAGGAGTGAGTCATTTACATCAACGTCATACCAATGACGTCATAACTACAAATATGATATACGGGATGTTCCTCCCACCATATCTAACTGTATTCAAGGAACAAAACATAGTAACATTTTCTTTTATTGGGCATGTTTTACTGTATTCCCTTTACCTAAATTACATTTACAAAACACCTTTGTATGACTCATCCCGTCCTTCCCCTCTTTAACAGTGTAGTGCAAAGGGTAACAAATCGATCTTATTATTACCTAAAAAGTTATAGATCTAATATGCCTGTAGTAGTACTCGTTGTTTAAAAAAAATGGTACTATTGGTCCTAAAAACTTCATGACCATACTGAACATTTTAACATGAGATGTAATTCTGTAAAAATAATAATAGAATAAGAGAATTCTAATAAGTAAGTTTAAGTAAATAAGATATACTTACAAACACTAGTACCTACATATATTTACATTTCAATATTATTATTGGCTGTACAATGTACATAATAAATTATGCAGACCATCTATCTACATAATTAACATCACGGTATAAATTGCACAGTACGTATAGCTCTAACCCAATAAATAAGAAAATTATCAAAAATATCAAAATCTAGCGTCAATAAAAACAAACAAAAACGTCGATAAACCAAAAAGATTTAACCACCTAGGCCCCGGCGAGATTCGAACTCGCGATCTCCTGTTTACTAGACAGGCGCTTTAACCAACTAAGCCACGGCGCCTCATGTGTGCCCGGTCGAAATTTCTGACTACATTGTACTATACATAATGGGGATTTACGATGACTGATAAAGGGGTGTTTACAATGCTGTACTTGAATAAACAATTTATATTGCAATGCAGTTACGTTATAGTTAGTGTATGTTATATTAAATTGATAACAATTGAGTGGTTAGTGTATTAATTTACATTTTATTTGAAGTTTGAATGACGATCTGACTACGACTATAATAACAGTACCTAGGGAATGCAAATAAAACTGAAAATTAATTGTCAAACATAATGACTAGCAATTCTTATTAAATAGTTGTCACATTCATTTTATAACATGTTTTGATTGATAAACTCATTGGTCCATTGTTCAGAAGCACAAGCTGAGCAAGAGGACCCCAGTTCAGTTTCCGGGTATGGTAAAATCTTGGGGGCTTTTGGGTTTCTGAAATTATCAGTAAAATAGGTTACACAAGATTGAAATTAAAGAGAAACTCGCGCAAGTTATTTAAACTGTCGAACACCAAGCGGTCACCGGTGACCGCAACCTATTGTTCTATAATTGTGTCTACAAAACCGGTACTCGACGAGTTAAAGAGAAATGGAAGGAAAAACGTCAAAGACAGAGTCAATTTATTTTTACTGTGTAACTGTATTACAACACGTCTGCTTATAGACTTATACTATCGGGGATTTAATAATGTGATGTTTTATACGCTTAATGTTATATGCTTTTTTGTTATCTATAATTAACACGTTAAACGCCATGGGGGTAACCTTCAACAGTTTTCTATTGGCAGTCAAAGCTTTAAGAAGATTAGATACTTTTACTATATTCTTAAAAATTTTGTAAACTGTTTCACTTTGCCTTTCATCATCATAAATCGACAGAGTAACATGTCAATAAAGATTAAAAATATCCATGTAAGTATTAAAAAAGCAATAAGAAACAGCTGTGAAGTGTTTGTAACAAACGCGTGAACTAGTATTAATATCAGCAATACATATTTCTATGAATAATATCATTATCGCGTAGATAAATATTCCATTATCTTCGATACAACAGCGATACTAACTAAATTAAAATTGTCTACTTTAAATATTATTTATGTATACTAGATACAGATGCGTAATTTCACAGTCGCTACATGTGGCAGTCGTGGCCGAGCGGTTAAGGCGTCTGACTAGAAATCAGATTCCCTCTGGGAGCGTAGGTTCGAATCCTACCGACTGCGAACTCTTTTTGTCAAGTTTTATTGTCGATTTTAATTGACACTTTATCATGATTATTGAGGCTATTTATTTTTATCAGTGATCGTTATTGGCTTCGTATATTTATCGTTCTTTTTATTGGCAATATTTTGTGCGATATTTAATTACGTGGTTCTGTGTTAGAAGCGACAAAAACCGAACCCCTCCGTTGTAGGTAGGCGCCTGTCAGTTTTTTTCGGAAATATATGGGCCAGTATTAATGATGTTGAAAATGCATGGGACAGTGTTGCCATCGGCCGTACCCGATTAATTAGTTATGTAATGTTTATCTATGGTTACGGAGCCATTAAAACGGCGTTTTGTTTGTTTTACGAGGTTTGCGTTATGGAAATTCCCATGTAAGCTATAAATTAGCGGATGTTGTGTTTGATCGTAAAAACGGGAACATTTTCACATGGTTGCTTTCACATTGATTACAATAATTTCATTGATATTTGTATCGTTTTGTTATTTGCTGGTCTTATTAACATTTGTGGGACTAACTGCGTAGTAGTCATGTTATTAAAGTTTAGTGTTCTGAATTAGATGTCAAAAAATCTGCCATTGTGGGAATTATTAAGATTAAGTAGAATACCTAGTATTATAAGGATTTATACCCTCTAACTGGTAAGAACCACATCATGTCATTTTGCTAGCGATTTTAACTCGTCGAGTACCGGTTTTGTAGACACAATTATAGAACAATAGGTTGCGGTCACCGGTGACCGCTTGATGTTTGACAGTTTAATTATGGAATTCAGATAGTAGATTGTATAGATAAGTAAATGCTTTATACATTTTAAAGGAGTGAATAATATTTATTCACAATTTCCACATTTTTATTTCTATCACACTATCAGTACGATTTATTTTGGTACTAGGTACTGAGTATTAAGGTACATAATTGGTAATTGAATTACGTAACTTCGTTAGGCAACTCTATACAACCATCGTCGCCTGGTTCAAACACTCAAGATTACGTATCTCCTTTGAGAAAAAGAAAAGCTACAACGTTAAGCCCCTGACTTAGCTGCTAAGCTCAGCTTAATTGCAACAGCACGTGTCCTCAATCCTACCATATGGCAAAGACAAGAACCACAGCCTAAACAGTAAGCCAGGATTCATCTACAGATTAAAAAGAATAATCCTTTCCACAGCCGTTAGAAATTGTATCTTGTTAATGTAATGTAGTTAGTCTGTTCAGAACTGGGAATGATAAATATTAATGGAGCAGCTTTTTCTTTGAATAATCTACAATTTTAATGTCCAACATTTATGGGGAGGTGAGAAAAAAATATTCTAGGCGTATCTCTTCCCTAGGTATTGCTTGCAGCCAATCTCCTTGACCGTAAATGGGACACAATACTTCAAGTGTAG